TCTTGATGTACTGATGGAGCTAGGGCTCGCGGCGGCTCGGTAATTAGGGAATGGATCGCGCAAACGACCGAGCTGGCCAACACAAATGCAACACGCCGATCCTGTGAACCCTGATTGTTTCCCGGGGAGATCATTCAAGAAGAATCAAGACTTTTGACAAAAGTTGACAAACCTCAACGGAAACGAACGAGAGGGCTCTGGAAAGGCGGCGGGGAAATGCTTACTGTTGGGTTACCTGACCAGGATAGGGAGCCACGGGCAGATGCTTCGCTGCAAATCAGCAGGTGAGTGCTACTTTACCTTGTGATACTGCCTCCTCTTGTTCCATCTGATGAACCTCTGCTGCTTCCACGCGTGCAACGCGAACCAGACGGACACTGACGGACTTGGCTGCGCGGTCGTGATCACTTGGACAGATCCGAGTCGGAGTTTAACTTTAGCTGCTGGCCCTAACCATCTCGCCCAAAGTGAGCGCGTCATCACAAGCTGGAGCTGGTAGAGTTTTCACCAAGTGGAGGCACGACCACGAGATACGAGCGGAAGGAATGTGGGGGGAGGCTCGCTCTTGCAGCTTCCCAGCAGCTTCCCTCATCCATCATGCTTCGACCATGGCTACACGCGCGTCCTCGCCGCCTTTTGGACATGCACCCATTCAGTCGTTAACACCTACCTCCTTGGGCCATCGGCAGAGGGGTGGGCAATCGACCAAAGAATGAAGGAGGTTTTCTGCCATTCCCACCTGCCTTGGCTACAAAAGAGGATCGAGCCCAATATCTCGTCACTGACGGGCAGCCCACTCCTTTCCTTCCGCCATTCCATCCTCACCAACGGCAAGTGCAGCTTCTCAAATGGCTCGAGAGTGGTGAGATTTCCCCCACAGCGGGGCAGCACAGAACTCCAAGATTCTCTCTCTCACCTTCAACAAGCCGCTGGTTGGGAAACTCAGCCTCAACGCCGTGCGTGGTCAACAGAGCAGCATCATGTTACGGATCCGCCCGCACTTCCACTCTTGATTCACCAGCCTCTTCCTTCATCAACTCCGATTCCTATCTACATATAAGCCGACCGCAGTCCGGATCCTTCAACATCGGCACCTTCACTGTCCCATCACGATCGTTGGCAGCATCTCCTATGCGGGTCACGCCGTTGGGGATAGCAAGGCTCGCTGTCCAATCATGACTGGCAACACTCACGCTCCCGCTGCAACAGGGACGGCACGTACCTCCACCATAGCGTTTCCTTCCGACATCGTTTTCGACTTATTAGCGACTGTCCTGACCCAGCTGCGGGCTTGCCTTGGGTATCCGTAATGAGTGGCCTCGCTACCCTGAAGCAAGAGGCCTCTCGCAGACAGACGACAGAGAGGCCATCTCGCTTCTCTGTACCACGTCGGGCCTGGTGGTGTGGTCGGTCCTGCGTTCGGCTTGGTGTGTGCTGCCGGTGATATGTCATCGGCATTCCGACAGCACTTGTAAAGCCCGCAACTCGTGGGCAGCAATAATCCCAGTGCTTCATCAAGCCCAGTTCGTTCCACAGCTGCAGCGGTGAGGCTCGTCTACCATGCTGCTTCCAGATTTTCAAACCCCGCCGTTTAGATGTGTGTGTGTGTGTGTGTGTGTGACACCTGCTAGCCCCAGCCCAGAAGAGCAACCGTGGTTGGGCAACGAGACCAGCACGCACGCACACGTGTTACACCCAGACAGAGACGCCGTGCAGATATATCGAAACTTGACTTTAGCCGGACCCGGACGCTAGCTTACATGGCTGCTGCTCGTGGACGAAAGCCGCCAGATGGAAACAGGGCAAAAGTGCCACAAAGCCCGAGAGGGGAGGGGGGGTACGATTGACGTTGTAAGTGGGAGCCTCATTTGCTTTTTGTGACGACGAGTACCCAACGGAGCGCCCGACATGTGTACTCGTACGTGTCCCTCGTTGCCTCTGTCACAGAGCAGACCCTTCTCTTAACGATCGGAAGAGGGTCGTTTTGTTACCTCCAGTTCATTTGTGCGAATGAGCGATATTATTCCCCAGACTAGATGCTTTGCCGTCTGGTGTGCGGCATTTCTACCCCGCGACTTATAGAGTCGAGCAAGGGAGCAAGAAGTGTGGTGCCGCAGCATGTTCTGCTTGGGCATTTCCCCGCAATTTCGAGATTCTGGGGTATTATATTGCTACGTGACAAGCCTTGACAAGCCTCGAGCAATTTGCCATTCCGCTTGCTTCGAGCAACTCTGGTGATCGGTCGTCAGCGGAAGAGGCAAGCCCGCTGAAATGTCCAGATACGTCACTTTCAAGCAGAGCGCCATCCCAGGTCCATTTCCATGGCCCAAGGGGTGGCACGGCAGGTGTGTAAACCATGCGGTGGAGACCAAAAAACAGTTTGATGCTGTGCAATGGAATGTTTCTTTAGTTTTTGGCTCAAAATTGGCGGTGTTGTGCATGGCCGGGCAACCCTGGTTGATGTTTTTGGCGTGTAAGTGAGAAAGAGGCTGCTGAGGTCGTCTTTTGATTTTCCAGATCTGTATGTAGATGTGTCTGGACTGTGAACTTGATCGAGTAGCATGTACATGCGGACGAGAGATTTGTCACTCATAGTAACAACTTCCATCACGGAAACAGATCCTCTGGCTTAGGACGTCAACCCTGGGGAGGGTTATGCCGGCCAAGTTGTCGTCAGTCCAATTTGATGACAAGAAAAAAGCAACTGACATCATCACCTCGGCTCTCGCAAGAGCTACCCTTTTGTTTTCATAACAAACCTAACCCATGACAATTTTTTAGCCTCCTTCTTGGCTGAGCTGAGCCTTATCGAAACCCGAACAAAAACCAACCAACCCATCGGCAATCCACTTACACGCTGTTGCTGCTGCTGCTGCTGCTACTGCTGCTACTGCTGCTACTGCTGCTGTGGAAAAAGTGGACTCCACTTTCCGCATACGTCAAGCTCTCTCTCTCTCTCTCTCTCTCTCTCTTTAGTTGTTCTCAAGTGAGGGGAAGCGGAGTTCTTGAAACTTGGACAGCTTTTGGGAGCAGCTCCGAAGTCGCAAATTTCCAGAAAGATGGGATTTTGCGGTTATTTATTATGGGATTTGTAGATTATAGAAGGAAGGGAAATGATGGAATTTCAGATGGGGACGGGAGTGTAGGTGCTCGGCAACCCCTCGGCCCGGTGACCGGACTTGGCGGTAGGTCAATAGGACGTCGGAGACCACCGCTCGGTGTTGCTCGGCCGCGGGGAAGGGATGCGGGAGCGGGGGAGATGCAAAAGATACCTAGGCTCCGGGAGACGGGAATGCACGCTCGGGACGATGTCGGGTCACGCCACTTGGATTTAAAAGGCTTCTAGAAAGAAAAATAATACTCTGGGTTCTTCTCTTGATAATACCATTGTTGATTATTGCAACGAAAGATAAATTCAGGGGTAGGTTTGTGGTGACGTTGTCATGGCTAAGATGACCACCTCGACTGAAGAGTACGGCGACTAACTAGTGCAACAGACAGACATCATCATCATGGCGGAAGCAATCCCAGAGACTATGAAAGCGGTGGTGTTTCACGGGCCGAAGAAGGTCGCCGTGGAGGAGAGGCCTGTTCCTAAGAGTATGTCTTTCACTCACTCACGCTCGCTCACTCACACCGTCACCACATTTCGGTTGTCTTATGAGAACCCTCTCGTTTTCATTGGCATATATACCCATCATGCCACCCAACACACTCTTGAACGTGGAAAATGCTGACATTACACCACAGTTAACCACCCCCTCGACGTCCTCGTCAAAGTAACCGCCACCGCCCTCTGCGGCTCGTAAGCCCCCCCTCCCGTTTGCCTTATCCCTCCCCCCCCCCGTTATCTCACTAACCCCCCTCTCCGCAGCGAACTTCACGTCTACCGCGGCCACCAACCCTCCCCAACAGGCTTCATCATGGGCCACGAATTCGTAGGCCACATCGTCGCCCTCGGCTCAGCCGTCACGTCCCTGAAAATCGGCGACAAGGTCGTCTCCCCCTTCACAACCTCCTGCATGAACTGCTTCTACTGCAACCTAGGCTGCTCCTCCCGCTGCGCCCACTCCCTGTTATTCGGCTCTGAAAAGTTAGACGGCGCCCAGGCCGCGTACGTCCTCGTCCCGTTCGGCCCAGGAACCCTAACCGTCGCTCCCCCGTCCGATATCATCCCCGACCGGGCCCTCATCCTCATGGCGGATATTTTTCCGACGGGGTACTTTGGCGCAAAGAACGCGTTTAGTCAGCTGCAGAAGCAGGAGGCGACAGAGGCGACGGTGGTGGTTATTGGGTGTGGGCCTGTGGGGTTGTGTGCGATCATCAGTGCGATGGAGTATAAACCCAAGAAGCTTTTTGCTGTTGATGGGGTCAAGTCGAGGTTGGAATTGGCGAGGGGGCTCGGGGCGGAGCCGTTGGATTTGAATGAGCTTGGTAGGGAGGGGATTGTAAAGAGGGTGAGGGAGGTGACGGAGGGGAGGGGGGCGGACGCGGTGGTGGAGGTTGTGGGGTTGAGTCCTGCGTTGAGGACCGCGTTTGAGGTGTTGAGGCCGTTTGGGGTCGTGAGTAGTATTGGGGTGCACAATGGGGAGATTCCGTGGGGTGGGGATGAGGCTTATGGGTGAGTTCTGTGAGAGTACGACTGAAAGAGGGAACAAAAGGCTGACGATGGGGGATAATAGTAAAAACTTGAGGGTTCAAATGGGACGGTGCCCTGTCAGGTCGATCTTCGAGGAGGCGCTGCCTGTTCTGGCCAAGAACCAGGATCGGGTGAGGTATGTTACTTTGCTGCTGCTCCTGGGAGATGGTGGGTGAGATGCTGACGATGAGAATAGCTTCATGTTCGACAAGATCATGCCCCTTTCCGATGCAGTGGAGGGTTACGACCTCTTTGACAACATGAGAGGTGCAAAAGGTGATTTTCGAGCCTTAAGTCCTCTCCCTCTCCCCTTTCCACTACTGTAATAACAATGAAAAAAAAATATATATATTAAAAAAATTCAATTCTGCCTCGGCTTCACCAACCCATCATGCATCCAGTAATAAGTAACAGTCGAATCATCCTGCACCGTAGCCAACAACACCCTCTTCCCCCTCCTCGACCCTTTATACGCCAACCAGGGTGACCTCTCCTCCTCCTCCTTTGTAATCTCCCTCGACCTAGGCGGTCTGGCGTCCAAAGCATCAAAAACGGCGGCGAACTGAGCTGGGGACCATTTCTCCGAGAGGTGGAGAGGTAGAACCCATTCTAGCTCTGCCTCCTGCGGGATACCCGCCCCCCCGTTGCCCATTTCTTTTTCTGCTCTGATGATCTCCACCTGCTCGTCCGGGTGGACGTAGAGGCGTTTGGGGGGCAGGCCGTAGAGGAGGGTCCGGGGGAGGTTGGGCTGGGTGTGGGGGTGGAGGGCGGTCCAGTCGTGTTGGTGTTGGAGGTTGTTGAGGACTATGGCTGTGAGGGCCGAGGTGCGTTGGTTGAGGGTAGTCATTTTGGAGTATCTGGGGTGGTTAGTTTTGAGTTTGGTAGTGTTGAGGGGTGAAGGGTGAACTCACATGGATGAGAGGGGTTGTGAATTTGTGAGATGAAATCCTCACTCTCACTCACAAATAATGAATTTTAGTGGACTTTTTGGTGGTGGTGGTGATGGGGCCCTTGACGTTGGAAGAACGTCCAGGCGGGAAGCCACTGTGAATTGTGGGGCCTGATCCCCTGAGCAAAAGTGGGGACACGGTCTAGGGACTTACTTACAACACCTTAACCATGGGATTCTTTTCCTGGAAGACTTGTCGTCAAACACCTGGCTTCTCGGCCATAGTAAATACACTTGAGCATCTGCTATAAGCTTATTGTTTATCCAGTTGATCCAAGAAGACAGTGTTATATGCTCGGCTCTGTTAGACCACCTCAACAGACATTCATTGTCCCAAGAACCATGATTTCTCAACCATCATCAATTACACCCTCATGACTAAACCAATCTGATCTCCTTCAGTAAAGCTTCCAAAAACATGTACAAAAATTCCAAACCTTCTTCCCTTGTCAAAGGCAAGCCATCACTAGAACACCTTCAAACTCCATCCCCCCCCCCCCCCCCGGCCCACAACTCCTAGTCTATCTAAACCACCCAAATCTCAGAACCTCAGCTGGGATTCATAACCTTCAACACCTCCTCAATCTCCCTCGGCACATCCGTCAAATTCTCGTACCCGGTCTTGGTAACCAGGATATCGTCCTCGATCCTCACCCCTCCCAAATCCCAGTACTGCTCCAACGCCTTCTTGTTGATAAAGTGAGCGTGGTACGGAACGTCAAGGAAGTAAGCCCTGAGGTACTCCTTGCAAAAGTAACTGTTTCCTCTGTCAGCATCTCACCCTCATCACATCATCACAAGGAAAAAAAAACTCACATCCCCGGCTCAACAGTAACCACCATCCCCTCCTCCAACCTCTGCCTCCCACCCCCAGCCGACCTCTTGGCCTTCTGCATCTGCACCACCCCCTTCCCCTGCCCATCCCCACCACCCCCCTCCTTCATCTCATCCCTAAACATAACCGCCAACGTCTCCGGCAGCACCAGCTCCCTCTTGCTCGGACTCAACCTACACCTCGCACTCTTCACCCCACCCGCCGGACCCAAACTGCTCTTGCTATCCAGCAGCAACCTCTCCCTCCCACTAACATCATGCACCTCCAGCCCGACATGGTGTCCCAACCCATGAGGAAAAAACCCCGCTATCGTCCCCCTGGCCAGAATCTCCTCCTTGGTCCCGTTGTGCAAAATCCCCAGCCTCAACAGCTCCTCAATCGCCACCTTGCAAGCGTGGAGATGCAACGAAGAGTAGACAACCCCAGGCTTGATCCTCTCAACACACTCCCTCTGCATCCTTAGCACAGCATGATAAATCGCCTTCGCCTCTGCCGAAAAGCTCCCTGGAATAGGGTACGTCCTCGTAATGTCAGACGCATAACAATTCCACTCACACCCCGCGTCCAAAACCACAAACTGATGCGGCTTAAGCGGCGCGTTGTTGTTGTCGTAGTGAAGCGTCGACGCCGCCGGCCCGGCACCGGCAATGATGGGGTACGCCTGCGTGTGCGCCCCCTGAGCAATACAATACCCTGCGAAAATAGCCTCCAGCTCCCGCTCGTTGCCGAGACGACTCAGCCGTGACAAGGCAGCCCTGTGCGCGGCCGAGGAAACCGCATTCGCCCGCCGAATCTGCGCAATCTCATAGTCCGTCTTGACAACCCTCGCGGTCTCGATCGCGGGGCGAAGGGAGTGGGTGTCAATCTGCACGACGCCCTTGGGAGATTCCAGCTGGGGGGCTTGATCGGGGTGGAGGACGTAGATGGACGCGCCCGGGGTCAAGCTGGCGCAGATGTACCTGTTCACACCGGCCACGTACCGGACCTCGTCGACGTCGGTGGACGCCCTGACTTCTTCCAGGGTCGGGGTGCGGCCGTACCAGAGGATGGTGCGGGGGTCGGTGTAGGGGATCCAGAGGATGAGGTGGTCCTTGTGAAGATCATAAGTGACGGCGCAGCCTGGAAAGTTGGCGCCGGTGAGGTAGTAAAAGTGGCGGCGCTGGCGGAAGGCGGGGCCTTGGTCCGAGTCCTCGTAGTACTTGTCTTCGGCTCCGGGGAGGTAGATGATGCCGTTGGCGGTGGGGGGGAGCTTGGAAGCCACTTTTGTGACGTGGGTTTTGGCGGGAAACTTGATCTTCTCGTGAAGCCAGGCTGCGTTGGGAGGGGTGCCGTAGTCGGTCCAGGAGGCGGACCGCTTGTTGTTCCCGCGGGTTGCCGGCGAGGTCGGGGATGAAGAACCCGACGACGAGTTCTTCTTGTGTGCTTTCGGGAGCTTGACTTCGATGGCGCTGTGTTTTGCAATATCAGCCAACATGTCCTGTTATCATGCAACTCACTCACACCAAGCGGTGTACTAACAGAGCATCAAACTCATCCACCATGACCAGGTCGTGATCGACCTCCATTTTGACTGCTGTTTATGTCCTTGTCTCACGGCTGCTCCCAAAGATGTCTCACTGGCTCGCAGCTCTCGATATGTGAGTGGCAGGCCCGGGCTATCCGATTGAGATGAGATATGAGAGGATGACGAGAGAGGGAGAGCGGGGTTGGTTCGAGCTGGTCTATGATTATTCAAAGCGGCGGTGTCTCGTTTTCGTCCCAAGAAGAACCGGACCGGCAGCGGGCAATCTTTCAGCGAAAAAAAAAAATCCCGATGGTGCCGATGGAGCTAGAACCGTTTCTGTTGAATTAAATAAAAAATCCCCCAACAGAAAATCTGGAGGAGGCTGAAAGTTGGCAGCGGTTTATGAGGGTGTACTGTGGTGGTAGTGTCGCGAGTGACGGGCAGCCAGCCTTCTTATCGCGATAACGGTGGGCTGAGTGACGATAGGTAACCACCTTGCTTGCAGGGGTCTAGCAAGATGATGTTATCACCGTTCAACACTGTCGTCAGTGGACTGCACTGGAACAGTATATGTATGGCGATCCGTATACACAAACGAAGAGGGTGGAGGAGAAAAGAAAAGAAGTCAACCCCAGGAGGTCTCGTGGCAGATCCCAAAACGGTTATAGAGGCTGACCCTCCCACATTATTAGTCTGCTCTACTCCCCTCCAGCACGCATGTGAAAAAAGAAGGTTGCGCGTTGCGTCCCGTCCGTCGGGTGCACCGGACTCGGGTCTAGCCAGTCCAGAAGAGCAAAAACGGGACCGTTTAATTGGATCGGCCGGCTTGTGCGTTGCCGAACAGAAAGAGAGGCAGAGAGCGCTGCTTTGTCACGAACCAACCCAACAAGATGGTTGTCTTTGTTGGTGGATCTAGTAAAACGTCGGGGCAGTTTTTGGTGACGGTTGAATCGTTTCAGGTATCACAGAAACGAAAAGTCGGCAGAAACCGTTCGTGGCTGGGTAAGTAGACAACCACGGCAAGTCTAAGACGTGGGTAAATTCTCACGCCCTTCCAGTCTAAAAAGTCGACATGAGCACTCGGGCGCGCCCTATCGAGCCAGTCCAGGTCTGTCCCTGACTCGTCAAATCCCAAATAGCTGGTTTTCGTACACCAAGAATAGCAGTAAAGACCCATGAATTCTTTCTTCTTAGGCTCGAACTCTATCTTGCTGACCGTGGTGTCTTTCCGCTCTCTCTTCCGCCATATCTATCATTTTCTTTTGCGTCCTATTACATGTACACCCCCAATAATGAATCGCTTCATCTCATTAAAACAAGAAAACCTACATCTCGGACTCCTCGTGTATTCCATGCTGTCCTAACAGACCTCGGGCCATCCACACACTCACCAAGGCCCACAATCCTCCCCCTCAAACTTCGTCCTGTTTTCCATGCACCATTCCGCTCTTTTGGGTATCAGGCCGCGACTAAAATGCAAAAGAAACGCTCTGTTGGGTCCAGCAACAATCCTTATTTCCTCTAGCCCGTGCCTCTTTAACCCACCGATGAATTTCCCAACCCAGTTTCCCTGACCCCGAACCCCAGACTTCGCCCAGCGATGCCGTATAAAGTTTATAAGTGTCGTGCATAAGTGTTGTGCTGGCGCTAGGCCGAGCATCTTTGTGCCTGGAACGAAAACCTCGTGGTCCCTCCCCCTGACCCCAACTTAAAAGCTCTGCATCTAGCGTGCTGTTTTGTTGTCTTCCACCTCCTCATCCATGTGTCTATCGGTACCCGGAATTTTGCTGAAGCATGTCGTCCCACTCCCCTGTCGTGAAGTCCGGTTCGCCCATAATGTCTTCCATCATATCCCTCTGTTGAGGCTGCCCCTGGTGATGTGGGCCTGCGTGTGAGGCCAGGCCCTGCGGAGGAGCATGGGGCTGACCATGCCTGGGGGAAGGCTGCATCGCAATCATGTTGGCCGTGTTGTACATCTGCGTCGCCGGGCTCATCGTATGCGGAGGTCCTTGCCCCTGAGACATCAGATACGGTGGGATCGGACCCATCAGTTGGCCCTCGATGTCATCGTAGATACTAGGCATGTAAAACTGCATGGAGGGTGCCGGAGGTTGCCCTGGAAGCCCGTGCGGATGTCCCGGTCGAGCATGGTGCCCAGCAGGGTCCATTAGCGGCGCATTGGGATACGCAAAAGGGTCGCCGGTGGGAAACATCATGGCGTCAACTTTGTAGACCGGGTTTGCGCCTTGCGGGTGTCCCTGCGGAAAGGTTTGGGCATGTCTCGGGGCAGGAGCCATATGCGCGGCTCTGGCTTCGGGAGTTCCCCGGCCCAACGTCAAATCCATTGGCAGTAGGTCCTGCAGATTGGAAAAGTTTTGACTCGCCAAGCTGCCCTGCGGAAGACCCAATGCGTCAAACGAGGATGTCCTCTGAGGAGGCAGCCGTGCTTCCCGTCGAAGGGCGCCAGTGGGTGGGCGAATCACCTCCTCGGACCTGCGCTGTGGAACGTCATCTTGCACTCCCGGCCGGGCTGGAAGGACCACGCTCGATTTCGATCCCGCAGGCGCTGCGCGTTTCTTGGAGGGCATTGGTCGTGTCGATGCTTTCTTGAGCCGTTCTGGCAGTTGTTCAAACAAGGGCTATGGTATGTTAGAACCATCGTCATGACGAACTTGAAAACGACACAATTTCTCGACTTACATTCAGGGCATTTGTGATCCGATCCGCTGCTAGACTGCGTTGAGCCAGACTCGCGATAACCTCCCGCCCGGTTTTGGCATCTGCTAGTATCTCGGCAGCTCCAGCCTTGTCGGGATTTTCCAGAACGTAGTATATCAAAGAGAGAATGGCGAAGAATTGCGAATAGAGAATAAACCAGTAAGGCCCGATCAGCACCGCCTGTTTGCGAATTTCGATTCCGATATGCACAATGTTTCGAGAAACGCTGACACCCGCGGCAGCACAGTTGTAGTATCGATCGTCAATCTTCTTGCCGGCCGTCTGACGTGGGGAGATGTAGTGAAGAAACGGACGGTACAGCATCATCTGGACATGGGCGTAGCCAAATCTCAGCAGAGTTCGAACTCTACGGACCTGGCGTTAGTGCTCGTCCAAGTTGTCAGCAAGAAAGGGTTGGCGTACCTGATAACCTCGATTGGCCCATCCGGGCTGGGGCGCCAATGTGTAGGGAGCTGTTCGTGCCACTCCTGGAGCTCGGCCTCAATCTCCTTGATCCGGGCATAGCTGATCATGTATCTCGAGTTCACCCGTCCCTGATTCACACAATCCTCGACAGCCTTGACAGGATAAATGTACTTGACAACCTTTGTCAAAATGGCCATGAGCCTCGTGTGGGCATTGAAAGCTTCGAAAAAGGAAGGCGTGCCTGGCGGAGGTGTAAGTATAGCCTCGCTCGTAATGTATTCATCATCCACCTCGGTCGGCATGGGCTGGTCGACATCGTCGTCGTGGAGCAAGAGAGGGAATCCCAAGATTGCTGAAATGTAGATGTCCATTTGCCGGACAACATGGAACACGCGCCGTCTCGTTTCATCCTCAATCGGCGTGATCTTTTCGTGTGCTAAATGGCGATGGAGCCCCATTCGCAGGCTAGAACGTAGAGCAATGCCGAGAAAGGCATAGCAGCCGCTGATATTGCTTGTTGCTTGTAAGAAAAGAATCATGTAGACCAAGCCTTGTAAAGAAACCATATCCCGGCACTCGGCCACATCTTGTAGGATCATCCGAGCGGATGTGTAATACTTGATTCTGAAACCAGTGTTAGAAAGCACGAATAGGAAGGCTTCAGGGACGAGACACCTACCCTTGTTCAACAGCCGCCTTGTACGAGGACGGTCCGTCTCCAGCCTCAACATCCGAGACATCGTAAACACAACCTAGGGCCAGCACCGAATAGAGAAGCCCGAGGAATCTGTGCTCATCATTTCCCCAGGCCTCCTGAGGTGTCGAATACAGCTTGTCAAACTTTTCGTAAAACGAAGGTTGGTGGACAACCCGCAAGAGACATGTTGCACAGTTGAAGGAGTAGTAACAAAGTGTGCGGGCCCTGTCCTGGGCCGGAAGATCATAGATATTGGGAGGAGCTGGCGTGTTGGATGCCGTTGAAGGTTCCCAGAGCGAGCCGGCGTTGGAGCGAGGGGAGTCGAGGCTGAACATGCCGGCCGGACGAGATGGTCGCGGCAGAAAGGGGATGCGGTAGTCGTTGCCCAACAGCCCCTCGAAATGCTCCTTCATCCTCCTCAGAAAAACCGCTCCCGAGGAGTTGCCATGGAAGTCCCATTCTCCGCCTTCGTTAATGTCAAGCTGCCCAATGGACTCGATCATGGACATGATCTGGGCATCCTGGCTTTCTGTTTTCTCCTGGGCTGGCGGCGTGTCTGATTTGGCTTTGGCCGCCTGCGCTCTTGCATTTTGTCTGTTGCGGAACTCCTGTTGGACTGACGGGTCAAGATTCGGGTCGCTGAGGTCGACATCTGGCATAAACTTGCGGAGGAGCGTCTCTGCACGCTGGAGCCTCGCCTCCAAGGCCTCGATATACTGCGGAGCTGGGTTCCTGCGGCGGTTAGAGGGTTTGTCATAGGTGCACTCTGAGAACTCGGTCAGCAAAACAACAGCAGGAGGCCGAAGAAAACTCGTTTGGTGCTCACCATAGCTGTAGACAGAGCAATGAGTGCAAGGCTGCTTGCCATCACACTTGATCTTCTTTCTGCGACACTCATCGCATGCTCGCGTGACCCGGCGACGCTTCTGCAGGGGCATGCTCGGGGCATCGCCAGCGCCATCTTGGGATTCAGGGGCCTCGGAATCTACCTTGCCGGTGTCCTGGGCTGAAGACTTTAGGCTCTCGGTGGGGGAGCCATGTTCTTCCTGCGACAAGTCTGCCGACTCATCATCAGACATGCCGGGGGGGCTGTTGGCGCTCCTCCGGTTGGGCTGCGGTGCCTGCGAGGAGGGACGAGTTCGGCGACGTGTTTTGTTTTCCACAGAGGGTTCTGTCATGCTGGTGCCCGGCAATACAGGAACGGATGGCTTCCTCCTGCCTGCCCACCGTGATGAAATGCTGTTACCCCTATTCAATGATGATCCTTCAGCTTGCTCGCATGTCGTGGTAAGCCACAGAACGGGTCTGAGCTTGTCGAGGTAGCCTCGAGCACACACACTTGCTGACAGAACACGCCCGCGGCAACGGCAACGGCAAGGCCAGAAAGCTGTAGCTGGTGGACGTGGCCCGAACTGAGGGAAGTTTGGACGGGCTTGAGCACAAGCGGAGTGATCCGGTGGTAAAGTGTTTGAATTCCGCCGTGGGTAACCTTCACATAGGTATACTTTCTAGCACCAACAAGGGGGAGGGGAGGAAGGGGGAGAGCCCAGAGTGGGGAGGGGGGTGGCTCTAGGGTAATCTATCGGTATGTGTACGTACGGTAAGTACGGCACCTGTCCACAGCCAAGAAATCGCAGAAGCCTTGCCCGATCAAGTCCACAACTCGCGCGGAGTCTCTCGGGGCCGGCTCCGCTGATGCCCGCTTGGATGGGGGATGCTGGAGTCCCAAGCACGAGCACGCCAGATACCCAGCCAGAGGTGGGACAGGCAGAAAAATTGGACGCCGACACGAAATGTTTGGATGAGTTATCAGGATCCCGCAGCAAAAATGGCCCTGTCAGTGGGCCCCGCCGTAGGGATACGTTTGGCAACAAGAGAACAGTTCGAAGAGGATCTGAAAACCGTCGAGGGGCGCGACGTCAGGGAGGGGCCGCTGCTGGTTCGGTCTAGTGTGACACGGACGCGAGACGAAGCAAGTCTTCTTGCTGGTAGTGGTGTGGTAGTCTACCTACTCTTGCGGAGGAACTGTCGCAGATACCATGAGGGATTGAAGAAAAGCCAACCGCGGCGGGGATAAGAAATGCCGTCAAAAAATATCCAACCGTAACCGCAAAGCCAATTGAGAAATATTGTACGTAGTAGTCCGGACTCGCCGTTGACCAGCATCCCATCCCGAGAGATTGACAACACCGATGATCTAACGCCAACAGGCAAGTGATGGGGTTCGATGACTGAACCGCAGAGTGTGCCTTGCCTGTCTGTCTGGCATGTCGGATGTGTAAGAGGGCCAAGACTGTCCCCAAGGTAGAACAAATCCTGGGCTCGCGCGATGGTCAAGAATTGGGGTCGTCTGGTTGGCCAACGAAGGGGTCTCCAAGCGGTGGGGGACCCCTGATGACGGGGCTGTCAAGGATCATATCAACGTCGATGAGATCAAAGCTTGGGCTTTGAGGAACACCCATCAAACAACTCCCGACGGGAGTCATCCTCCGCGTATAGCGTACCTACCTATGTTAGTGTAGACCCCAGAAGTCAGTTTGTATATGTGTGCTGGATCTGCCATCGGTGCCATCTCAACTACGAGCACCACTCTACCTGCAGGTATGTAGGTAATCCTGTACATGTCTGTGTGACATGAGTGTGAGTAAGCAGAGCTGTGAGGCGACCAAGAGATAATAGACAGAGACGGCAGGACACGAGGATAGGAGCGCGTGCGATGTCTCGTTGAGCCAGTCCAGAATCAGCTGCTGCTATTTTTTTCTTTATTTGTTTCGCGGGGAAGCTGGCTGCACGAGGCCTCTGTATAAAGCAGGGCGACGTAAGACGATGATGCGGGCTGTAGAGAAAAGACGGGTAGCGGGATGGCGGGAGAATTGGGTTGTGCAGTTGCGGGTATTTTCGAGCATCTCTATGTCTCGGTCCCACCATCCATGCCACATTGACAGTGGCCCGTCTGGTTGTTGACAAGACCCCTCTGCTGGTCTCCTCCGACTTCAGGAACCGAACCGTCCAGACCTCAGGCACTTGCTGGGCATCCAGTGGAGAGTCATCGCCAACCAGTTGCTTGCTGGTCACGGCCCAAGAACCCCAAGAGCGAACGCCAGGACGCGCCAGAGCGCCAAGTGTCTGCTGTGTGCGCTCGGCGGCTGCATGTTGGCGAAGAGGGACGAAAGGGATGGCGGCCAATATCATCTAGTGGGAATTCCGAGGAGTCGAAGGCTTATTCCCGAGTTGAGCTCGCGAGCGATCGAGGAGAGGGGGCTGGGGAGTCCATCCTCGAGCTCTTGAGTTAATGCAGTGACAATGTTGAGCGTCTGTGGTGCTCTCCCACACCCCGCCCCAGATATACAATAGTGTACACCATAATGTCGCAGAACCACCACATTCCGCGTTAGTCTAGCCGCCTGCTGGTAACTGTTGATCAGTGGGGGAACAAGCACTATCGACCCAATGCGTGTGCCTGTCCCAGGCGCCATGGGGAAGCTTCATCTTTCGGGGAGACGGCACGCCCTGTGCCTGACATCTGGGAACGGGCAGCGATTGGCTCCCCCTTCAGGATGGGGGGAAAACGTCGCAGTTGAAACGGCAGGGCGTCAAGCAGCAGTCGAGCATCTCGTGAAAACTCTTCCAGGTTCCAAGGGGGCCGACAACCGCGGCCGTGGGCAGGTGTGTTCGCAAGCTGTGCTTCCAATGTCGTTGTGGGAAAAACGGAGCGTCACCATGAGATTGCATCCTTGTGGAGATGCCAAGACACTGAGGGGCCTCGCTAACATCTCGGCAAGGGCTCGGCACACGTCAAAGCCTGGCTTGCAACGGAAATCAGGTCATTTGTACATCAGTACATGCGGGCACTATTCCGCTTTGGACCGCCCGTAGACCTGTCGGCGAATCACAGCGCCGCTCTGCAACGCAGACTTTTCGCAAGAGGTTAGGCATATACCTCTGCCACGGTTATTAATGTTAACGCGACAGGGGTCTTTTGGTGGAAGTTGCGCTGGCCGCACTAAACATTTACTTCGCCTGCGGAATTGTAGAGTAGAGATAAACGACAACAGGCGACGCCCAAAACCACCTGCTGTATAAAACTTTTCGGTGCAGGATGGTTCTCTTGCACACAACACCCCGATTCGCTTACCTTTTCCGTCTTGCGGTTAGACACTTTGATGGTTGTAGTAGTACCAAACTGATAGCGATGGAGTCCCTCAACCATTCCACTTATTGCACCGTATCCCCGTATCCCCGTATCCCAAGCATCTAGCGCCCACATCCCGAGGCAGTCCGAAGAGAGAAAAGGGCAACACATGGACGTTCTGGTGGGTTGTGGTCATGTGCCTCTCTGCAGTGCTGCTTGCCCTTGCAAGCCCAGCAAGGCGGCCTGTCAGCCTTGCGGGAATCGTGCCGTCTTTTGGGGCGGAACCATCAAAAATGTTCCGAGATATCCGTGATCCTGGCTGCCTAGACTGTTATCCCCTGTCAGAGCGAGCCTAACCTGGCAAAATCAAGATGGAAAAGTTGCGAATCTCATCTGCATACCAAGGCCACCCGTCTGTCGCATCCATCTGCTTGTGCTTCCACCATAGGCTGAGTGGTGTCTCGTCGACAAAACGAGCCTCTAACAGATCTTAACGTGACGGTAATCCACAGCAGTTGCGAGATTCCAGGTTGTTTAAAGTCGCCAAGGTCCACTCGGCTATCGCCGAACCAATTGCACGACAACCAACCGATGACGCGGTGAGCTACATACCGTTCTGAGAACTTTTGAAAAGCTTGCGGTGAAGTTTGTAGCGAACGATGAATCCCAACAGGGAGGAGGTGCGTATAGTCGGCTAATCGATGAGTCTGAGGACGGCCCCAAACCGGAGTATGTCTATGCATTATTTGCCTTGGCAAAAGTCGACCGTTTTTACAACCTGAATTGAGAAGCTTATCATTCAACACGGAATAAAATGGAGAACCGAAAAGGGGTGTAACTAATCGCGGGATTCGGAGATGCTGTGTTGACATGAGCTTCAAAATGAGCCGTAACAACGATATCCTTGAGAGAGGCATTCACATGACAAAAATGACTTTTTGTAGATACGGCGGCTCTGGGTGGACATCAAGCGACTGAAGGTTCAAGGTGAGCAAAGGACGCAGGGCCAGGGACGGTGTCTCCGGTGAGTTCCGTAATCCGTACCTATGCCCCGCACCGGTTCCCCACCATACCGTGCCTACCCCACCATCCGCCAACGAGAGCTCCATCTTATCGCCAGGCTGCAGCTAGCTGACCATCCATCAACTTATCTCTCGTCCAGCCTTGCCTAAACCATCGACGTCAACCAGGCCCAGGTATCGCAACATCTTCTCAGCCTTGCGTTCTCGACTCCATTCACAAAACCAGCCGCAAAGATGGCCGACCCTCTGCTGGAGTTCTTCACCCAGATGGACATCCAGGGCGGTGTTGTCGTTCAGGGTGAGTGTGCCCCTCTTCAACGACCGAACCCCGCGATCCATCTCCCATTGCAATATCACCATTACGATCAACAACGGTAACTAATTGGTATGTACTAGATTCCCCCAAATTTGATCTCGATCTCTATATCCAAAACTACCGCGGCCGTACCAGATTTGACCGTCTCCTCCTCATCGGCCGTAGCTCAGTAAAGCTCTGCGTCGAAGCTCTCAAGGCCGCCCTCGCCGAAGCCAAGCGTGGCCGCGACACCCAGCGATACAGAGACGTTTTTGAATACCTTCGCGTAGCTGCTCCCAATGACCCCGATGCCGTCTTTGATAAGAAATGGGTAGACAGGCAGGACGTCGCCAACCATGAAGAGACCCAACGGCTGCTCACCGAGCTAAAGGGATATAAGAACAACCTTGTCAAGGAGAGCATCCGGGTAAGCATCACCAACCTTCTTTCACGCAAACCATTCTAACCGTATGCCAAACAAAAGATGGGCAACGAAGACCTAGCCAAACATTACGAAGCAATCGGCGACCTCAACGCGGCCTCTGAGCACTACTCCAAAATGCGCCCCGACGTCTCCACGGCGAAGCACGTCATCGACGTCGGCAAACACCTCGTCCGCGTGGCCATCCAAAGAAGAGAGTGGAGCATGGTCGCGCCCCATCTCGTAAAGATGACGCTCGGGGGGCAGTACCCCGAAGAAGAGCGCAACGCCCAACCGTTCATCCGCGTAGCTTCTGGCATCGCCCTCCTCGGCCAAGAAAAATACTGGGAAGCGGCCCTCTCCTTTCTCGACGCCGACCCAAACGTCCCGCCAAAAGCCTACAATGAACTCGCCAGCCGTAACGACATTGCCGTCTATGGCGGTTTGCTTGCGCTGGCGACAATGGACCGCAAGCAGCTCCAGAGTATGGTGTTGGAGAACCAGAATTTCAGAGTGTTTCTGGAACCGGAGCCGCACATCAGGCGGGCGGTGACGATGTTTGTTAATGGGAGGTATTCGGCTTGCATTGAGATTTTGGAGGGGTACAGGACGGATTATCTGCTGGACATCTACCTCCAGAAGCACGTCAGCAAGATTTATGCCAAGATCAGGAGCAAGTGTGTGGTGCAGTATCTGATTCCGTTTTCGTGCGTGAGTTTGGACACGCTGGAGAAGGCGTTTGGGAGTCCAGAGAGGCCGATTGAGGAGGAGCTGGCGGTGATGATTGAGGAGGGGGTCTTGGAGGCGAGGATTGATGGGCTCGAGAGGGTAAGCTTTACTGCCTTTTTTTGTTTTTTTGGATTGTCATACGGTGTGCTAATGATGAATAACAGCTCGTCAACACAGTCAAGATTGACCCGAGAGCTCAAATGCAGGCTTCGGCATTGGTTTCTGCCGAGAATTACGAGAAGCAGGCTATTGAGCGGTTGAGAAGGATGGCGATTGCAGCTGCGGATTTGGAGCTGATGCCGACCAAGAAGCAGGGGTTGCATCTCCCGCTTGGTGGTGATATTTCTTTTGGGGATCAGGAGATTGTGATGGGTTGAGACAGACAAGTCAGGGTTAGGGATTATTATGATATGAAACGAAACGAGATAGCATTGGTTTTTGAGTTTTTGTTTTTGGCATTGCCCGTTTGCGTATACCGGGTAAAGGGAAAAGGAGTATGGGGATAAGCATAGTAGTTATGAGACATTGAGAATCCACGAGTACAGCACGAAGGCTGAATCCCGGAATCGAACTGAGATCATCTCTTAATTTGTCCTTGCTGATTAGTTCTCCAAAACTGAGGTTGTCTAGTTGTTCCATGTTTATGTTGGGGTATCATTTGTTCTACAGCATTTTCCACCTTCCCACATTTTCCCGTTTTCTTTCTGTCTACCCCATCAACTGCCTAATATCCTCGGGCGGCCACCTCACCTGCGCAAACGTCAAGCACCGCTTGATGCTCTGCAGATACTTTCTCGTCACCTCGCTCCCCATGATATGCCCCCTCTCTCCGTTATGGAGCTTTTCTCTTGCGCTACGTTCGTGGATACCAACCATGGTGACACCAATCGGCCAGGCGGCCTTTCCGATGCTCAGCCGTAGATACCCATCATTGGCATCGACGTATCTCTTTTCCTGGGCGGCCTTGACAATCTCCACGATGGCTTCCAGGATACTCTCGTCCAGGCCCCCCTTTTCGAAAAGCCGGAATAACGGCGCCATATTTTCCTTGGATGACACCATGGCGTTGATTGCTTGCTGGCCGGCGGTGGTGTCGGCGTTGTCTTCTCTTGCGAGCGCGGCTTCCCACTCGCGGAGGATCATGTTGAAGTAAGAGGCCAACTGGCGGTAGAGATACTTCCTTGCCTTCCTGTCGGTAGCTGGAGGGATCTTGTCCGGTACTTTCATGTCCTTTTCCTCGACAGGGAGGAGTTTGGTAGCGATTGGACCTGCAGAAAGAGACTTTGGTCTGGTAACCTTTCTGTAGCGACGTAACCTTGAAACGTGGGACTCTCCGAACAATATCGCCGGCTGGCCTAGCTCTCGGAGTTTGGACTTGAGTTCATCATCGGGGATGTCGGTGTGGTCTTGGTCGTCGTCGGAAGAGGCGTCAGAGTCGGGTTTGGGGGTGGCGGAGGAGTCGTCGTCGGTCTTGGGGGGGAGTTCTGGTAGGCCTAGACGTTTCCTTCGGGCTCGTTCCTCTTCGGCTTCTTTGGCTTCTCTGCGGAGCCGGGATTCCTCGGCGAGTTTCTGGCGTTTCTCCTCGCGGGCTTTGGCTTCCTCGGCGGCTTCCTCCTCGCGCTTGCGTTTGGCGGCTGCTCTGGCGGCCCGTTGTTCTTCGAGGGCCTTTTGCTCGGCTAGGTAGGCTGCTTGGCGTTGGGCTTCGGCTTCGCGGCGGGAGATGTACTTTTGGGGTTTTTCCTTTTCTGGTTCTTTCTTGGCTATCTCCTTAGCCATGAGAGAGGCAAAGTCCATGGTGGGTGGTGGGTGGTGTGTTGATATATGGTGTTGGTGATGGGTGGAAGCCTTGTGGTGTGTCCTGGGGGTCGGATATCAGGGTCTAGCGAACCGTTGGAAGCCGGGGAAAAGGCTGGAAAGGGGGTGTCACACAGCCAAAACAAGAGGTGAGGTTGGAAATGGAGAGATGAGGTTCCGGGAGCTGCAAGTGTTCGGGGAGTGCTCCGCTAAATAAGGTCGGCCCCAATGTCGTTGCACTAGCGTGATGCGGGAAGAGTGCTGCGCCACGATCTGGACCCACTTTGTTGACGGATCGGCACCGGCAGGCAAGGCAGGTACTGAGGTACTCAACACGGACACACCCTGCTTGTGACAAGAACTTCACGCCCCCTGGGCTGGTTGTGGATGATATCCTCAGTCTCTGATTCCCAAGGTGGCCCGCGAACCGGGGCAGCCGGGTCGAACCTTCAGGCCGGAGTGGAGGAGAGTGAAAGCTTATCTTAGAAGGCGCCTTCCACCGCTAGGGAAGCCATTGCCCTGGGGCGTGTAACTTAGAATACGCTTTCCGAAGTCCTCAAAATCATGACAAGTCTTGTTTTCTCTCCCATAAAATTTCTAAACTTGCCCAAATCATCTTACTACTCGTGCCCCGCGAACAAGGAGCTCTGTAAGCCATCATTGGCAGCCATCTTATCATCATGTCTTCATCAAATGGAGCCCAGAAACCAATCCACTCCAGAGTGAAACTTTTCTACCGCATCAATGTTCCCCATGAGTATGTCATCTCAAGACTGTGTATTGTGCTTGATACCGGTCAGCAAAGCTAACTGCACCTGTGTGATAGGCCAGAAGAATTTATCCAGGACCCCTTGCCTGCCCATGTTGAGCTTGATATCCCAATGACATGGTATGACGTCGTCCAACTCTGGCCTTATTAGGCTTGCCAGTCAGCTCAGCTAACATTGTACTCTTGACAGCACAGTCAAAGACCTGGCTGATATCATGAAGAAGAACTCGAGAAAAATCTTCCCTTCTCTTTCCGTCGGCACCCGGCTCTGCTTCCGCACTATGGACCGGTCAATTTACAGCACAAAGCCAAAATACCTTCCGTCACCTTACGGCAGTTACGTTATCGGTCGAGGTTACCCAGGCATCGATTTACCCGCACGAGACGAGAATGACCCAGCGAGCCCCAAGCCAAAGCTCCGATGGCTGGATGGCGCTTACATTGTCTGTACCATCTTTCCGCCACTACCCAGCGACGAAGACGAACTCATTGTACCACCTGCGCTGCCGTATAAGATCAGCAGGCTAGGGCCTGATCAGCCTGGAAAGGGTATCGTAGTAGGGGGTGACCGGACGGCAAATGGAAAGGGAAAAGGACGTGAAGACGAGGATGAGGATCCCCGTCCGCCGCGCCGCGGCAACACCCGTGTCTCTAAGGGTACGTCAAGGGGACCTACTTCAAGAACGCGGGACAATGATCGCCGAGCTAATTAGGAGTTTGAATCCCGAGAAGATGCCTCGGGGGGTGGAGTCCACGGTCAGAAGAATGGTGTAGGGGGTTCTGTTGATGAGTTGATAAATTCGGAAGTTGATCGGGAGTGGGAGGCCTTGAAACGTCAATTGCAAGACAATCCGGAGCGAGCCCTGGATGGCGTATTGGAGATCACAAGGCGTCTAGCCGCGTGTTTTCCTTCGAATGGATCTGGTACTAAAGCCAGCAGGGCTGGTCCCAAGAAAGGCGAAGGATCTTCCAACAATACAGCCAAAGCGAGAGATAAAGGCAAGGAAAAAGAAAAGGAGGATCCCAAGACACCGGAGAGTTGGAAGCCCTATGAATATGACCGTTTCCAGAAGAAGAAATAGCCTGATTGATAAAGGGCCTCTGTTGCGGTATCAAATTCTGTGTTAGAAACCGCCGCATCACTACACAGCAGCGTAAATCAATCATAGAGCGACGAAGATCACCATAGAGCACCGGCAGAGATCATGTTGTATTTTTAAGATTACGATAGATTACATACTGGGGGAAAATGAGGAGTGTGTTTTTCTAGCGCACTGTGTGTAGCCCAGGGCCCTATAAATTGTCTCTGAATGTCTATGAACTATCTTCCAGAGGCCTATTGATTATTCTGAAGGCCTGGCACAAGGCTGACGTCGACCAGATGTGAGACTCCCGCAACGTCACACCTACCTACTTTCACGCAGCAAGTATTGGCCATTTCTAAACCACTGGTTTCACACCCTGGACAAAATAGCTGGCACTGCAAGGCAGTAAAACATGGTCAACTGCATACTTTTATGTTTTTAAACACGAAACATGTCTCTTGGTTGCCTTTTAAGGCCTGTTGGCTATCTTTGGACGAGGTTTGATAATATCTTGAGGCGTGGTTCAACACCCATGTTATCTGCATCCAGTTACTTTGCGGTGACAGTGATTTTTGTCCAGTGCGTATTTTTTGGCGCCACCAGCCCTTGCTATCTCTATTAGCTGCCTTGAATAACGACGGCATGTGTGGGTCTGTGACGCAGCGAGAGACACGCTTCACTGTGGAAGTGGTAAACTTTTATATATACGGGATTTGTCTGCCTCAGGCAATGATAACATATCCACAGTCACCAAAGCAAAGCACATCATTCTGATCTTGCACCCTAGAAATGGTTCTGTTGTGTAACCCCCTCTGACAGCTTGCTTTGTGTCTGTCTTTGACGCCCCCTTCTCATCAAGATATGTACACTTCCCCTCCGCTGACCTCCCACGTTTAGCGCTCGGCGAGGAGATCTCCCCTGCGCTTTGCTCGGAGGTCCCAGGCGCCCTGATGGAAGAAATGATGTTAGGTTCGTATGAAAGTAAGTGAAAGAGTGGGAAACTAACATCCCACTTCCAGCCGATGTAACCCACGATTCCGGGGATGACAAAGACGTAGAGGGTGGTGAGGAAGCCGGTTCGGGGGGTCCAGCGGAAGTACTTGTAGCGATTGATTTGCATGTCTGTGTGGGAGGTGTTAGAACATGTTTTGATGCTGTTTTTCCCACATCCCATGATCCCGAACATGACCGCTTGCTCGCTGAATCCGTTGCTTGCTTCGTTTTGGGGGGGTGTAGGGCCGTATTTCCCCTTCTTGTGTGTCTAAATATCGAACAATATCTCTCTAGTTGTAGACGTTGTTGTTCGTTTCGCATGACCGCCTCGCCTCACTCTGATCGACACTGTCTTCCGCTCAATTTTTCGGCATTGTCCCTCAGATCCGGGAGCTTCGGGTTGTCTTTTCGCATCTCCAGTCTTTTGTCCACCAATCGTTCGTTCCTGCTGTCGGTCTCTCGTTTCACGGTCGGGTCTCGGTCTCGAATCTGGGGTTGGCGAAGCAGGCGGTCCACGGCCGTCTATCACATCCAGATCTTCCAACAAGCATAATCAACAGAAACAAGACCACGTACTGTTCAACCGGACAAACGCCGGGTCCATGGCGACCTCTGTTCAGAGCTCCAGTTAGCCTTTCATTCGCACTCCTCGGGAGGGCCACACTGGGGAGAACAAACTGTGATGCTGGAGGCCGGCCATTCTGAAATGTGTTTAGTGGCTTGCGCCGGCTGCTACAACTGGGGAAAAATGGGGTGGTGGTGCGAGGTTTGGAGGTTGTCGTCAGCGACAAGACACGCTCAGTCGTCAATTGACGTTCTGGATGCTGGCTGTTAGGCGGCTGGCTTGGCACCCGCCAAGCTGGGGGGGAGGCTGCGGGAGAAGAAAAGTGGGGAGCTAGGCTGGGTCACGTGAATGAGTGGTTTCTCATTTTGTCTCGCAGTTTCAAGCTGGATGCAATTGGCAGGCAAAACGACGTCTCTGAAGGGTCACAGGTAGGAGCTTCAAAATTGAAGCTCGTTGAGCTTTCTTTGAACCCTTTCCTTTTTCCCACGTATTCCGTGTTTGGTTGTTCACGGCACAGAGCTTTGGCCAGACCATCACATGCTTTGCTCAGCTCCCCCACCCAAGCTTCCAATCTCTTCGAAACCCGGGGACTTGACCGTTGAAATGTTCCATTTGCAATACAACGGCATTGAGGCTCCACGATGAATTGCTTAATCTTCTGAAAAATGAGGCTTGATATTGATCCCTTTGTCTCACGATGTGCCACTGGGGCCAAGGCAAGGCTCCGCGTATTCTCGCATGACTTTCCAACCCCCACCACCAATTCCTTCCTGGTTGATCACATCTGCAGGCTTACGACACGACAGGGCCGTCGTGGAACTTTGACTGGAGGTATCATCGGCGATTGCTGGCTCAGCCTCGACGCTATTGGCATCGGAATATGCCTGTTATCACCACCTAAGGAAATGCGGTCAATAACAATATGCCTGGGCTTTTTGATTTTTGGAGATACTACACTACTTGAGACCAACAAAACACTCCGGGGTTAGTGCCGTGCGGCCTGACACCGGGCTCGGAGGAGGCGCGGGTCCGGCAGAGCCCCAGCGCGGGCGGGGGGGTTAGCGCCATGACGTCAAATTGCAAAGAAGCAACAGCACAACTCGGACGAGGGGGGAAAGAAGCATTCATCAATCAAAAGATTCTGAAAATAGCACTGACGAAATGATGGGCAAAAAGGAAAGAAGTTGTCAAGTGTTAGGCATCAAAAATACGGGTAGTATCAGACAACGGGGTCCTGCCTGATTGGGTTTTTTGCACCGCCGCGATTATGGGGACTGGGGAGGAAACACATTTGAATGTTCGCTTCCGCTCATGGAACCCATGGTTGCTGCTGCTGCAATGTTCCAGAAATCGAGACAAAGACCCAATGGCCCGGCCAGAACCACGGGGATCGATCTGATCCTTTCAATCCGAGCCATTTACCTAGCCGCATTCAGCCTCTCAGCTTACCATATCACTCAACCCTAAATAACACTGTCTTCGAAACTGGATACTGTAGGGGACGGCTTTTTCCTTTTCTCTCTTTTCTTCCATCATAAACCTCGACACTTTTTTTTTTCTCACCTCTTTTCCTCTCCTGGATTGATTTGTCTCTGACATTGGCAGTTCATCCCCATCTCTCATCGATAGGCACCAGCTTCTATCCAATAGTTCCCATTGTTTATTTTTATCCCAACCTGGACTAACAGCCCCCTGCCAAGCAAAAGGCGCACGCAGCCTTGTTGATGTCGAGCTTGAAGTCCCCTCTTATGCTGAGGCATCTCCCACCACATTTTCCACTCGCACAATGACTGCCATGGCAGCAGCACCACCGGTTTCGGCATCTTTGGAGACAGATATGGCTCGGATGACTCTTCCGCCAGTCGTGACGGAATTCCCGCCACCACCGGCGCATGAACAGAATGGAGGACCCGCTTCTTCTTCTTCGGATGGCGCGGAGGACGATGACGACTTTGAAGATGATCAGGCCGACGCCCAATCACTCATGCAGCCGGCTATCAGCCCACTGGCCACGCTTTTTACGTCGCCAAAGACCCCCGCTGCGGAGAGGATGGCGGCTTTTGACCAGATGTCGGGGGGTGGCATTTTTGAGAGGATCGAGGACGACCAGAGGCCGGGGATGGCTTCGCTGGATGGGACTTCGAGCCATGACAAACTACCACCACCACCTCCAAGTCATTCGTCCGAGCCAATGGCTCGGATGGCAGGAGCTACGGAACCAGCAAGTTCTCAGGCTCCTCCCCAACAACAACCCCCTATTGAGCGTATGCCAACACCATGGCAGGCAGGCCCCAAGCAGTTTCACATCACCGAGCCGGGGAGGTGGTCCTCCATGTCTATGGCCATTAGGAGCCAGTCATCAAGACACAAACGCGCATCTTCAGTTAGCGAGAATGCTATGCTGAAGAGACTCTCCAAGGCTCTCCCTTCGATATCGATTCCGTCCGGGTTCATGCCTAGCATCCCCACACCGCCCTTCTTTTCGTCTCACAGTTCCAGCAATAATACCTCACCTCAGAAGGACGAGCGGACGCCGAAAACACCGCAGACTGGTGGGATTCCTGACAGTAGCTCCCAAAGATCTGGCACCCCCAGGACCTCGTCTCTAAGACGAACAACCTCGGACGACTCACTGCTTTATCACACTCTGTCTCGAGTCTCCTCCCTAGGCGACGACACCCGCTTCGCCCACGTCCGCGAGCAAGTCAACGTTCGGATGAAGGCCATCCTCGACAGCTTTGAAGGGCCTTCGTTCAAAATGCCTCAGATGCCCAATTTGTTGAACACGCCCCTTGTTAAGAAGTCAGCCACGGAGCCTATCTCCTCTTCCACCCCTCACCGCTCCGGCTCTTTGTCAACCACCACTACCGCCCCGCAGGATCCCTTGGACAAAGTTCTGGAAACCCTAACAGGCGACATCGTCATCATGGGCGGGTACAGGGGTTCGATCCTCCGCTCTGCCAAAGCGCCCCACCGCCGGCTATGGGTACCAGTCAAAGTCCAGCTCAACATCCGAAAAGTCAAGCTCGAAGTCGGCCTCGACCCCCAGGATGAGCTGGACATGGGGAAGTCGATTTATGCAGATGGGATGCTGAAGAATATCGGTCCAGTGGACATCTCTAAACGACTCTTTAAGCGCTTGAGAGAATGCGAAAACGCGCGAAGCGGAAAGTTGAGAGTTCATGATTATGGCTACGACTGGCGGTTGAGTCCACATTTGCTCTCCAAACGACTGGTCAAGTTCCTGGAGGGCCTCCCCTCCAACCGGGCCGGGACTCCACCGTCGGAGAGGGGGGCGTGGGTGATATCGCACAGTCTGGGCGGGATCATCACCCGTCACGCGGTCAACTCCTCCCCTTCTCTCTTCCGTGGCGTCGTCTATGTCGGCGTCCCGCAACGGTGTATAAACATCCTCGGGCCCCTCCGCAACGGGGACGCGGTGCTGCTCAACGAAAAGATCCTCACGGCGCACGTAAACTTTTCCCTGAGGACAACGTTTGTTTTTTTGCCCGAGGACGGGTTTTGTTTTGTGGATAAGGAGACTGGGGAGGAGCACAGGGTTGACTTCTACGACGTGAACGACTGGGTTCAATACCGGCTTTGCCCGTCAGTTTCCGAAGCTGCGCTGCCGGCGGTGGGGAAGGGGAGCAATGGGACTTTTAGCTCGTTGTTGAACTTGTCGGATTCGTTGGGGAGTTTTCAGCCCTTGAGGAGCAGGAGTAATACGCAGACGAAGCGGGACAGTGGTGTTACGCTGGCGGGGAAGGATAGGAGTTTGGCGCCGCAGATGGGGTCGTCTGGGGACGATAACAGTCCAGTTGACAGCAACAGTCAGAGCGACAAGGCGAAGAACCTGGCGTATTTGGCGAGGACGCTGGCGGAGATCAAGCAGTTTCGTGCGGAGCTCGCACACAACAAGGCTCACCAACAGAGTAATGCTTACCCTCCTTTGGCGGTCATCTACGCAAAGGACATACCCACCACGTACGGCTGTCGGGTTTCTGGCCGGGAGGGCATCGCGCACGCTGATGCGTACGATGATCTCATGTTCAGGTCTGGGGATGGGGTGGTGCTGGCAAAGGAGGCGATGTTGCCGGAGGGATATGAGGTTGTCAAGGGGGGAAGGGTCTGCACGGATAGGGGGCATATCACCATGCTGGGGGATTTGGCTGGGGTGGGGAGGGCGTTGGAGGCGGTGGTGAGGGGACGACAGAAGGGGATTGGGATGGGGGTGCTGGAGGGGAAAGGGGGTAAATAAAAGAAAGGGAGAAACAGGACAGAAAAATGATACCCATTGATTAGACCTATAGCGAACCGAGACAATTCAAACAAGAATAAACAGGATGAGGAACCACTCGTGCTCACAGAAGGTAGGACAAGTGCATTCACAGATGCTGTATGTTCACCAGACCAAGGCAGTACCTGCTTGATCATAGCCTCGGCATTCCCCCAATGATTGGGTCAGGGGTAAGCTATGTGCTACCAGGGTTGATCAAGACAGTACCAGCACATCACTATTCATACATCACTATTCACACATATCATAATATAAAAGAAAGGCATGTATAACTAGCTACTCCAAGTGCCAATCTGAAAGCCATACTAGCAAGTCCTTTTCTGTAGACCATCCTCCTCAAAAAAAGCGTCCCCGGCAAAAACCAACACCGTAAAGACCCGCGCTCAACCTATCCTCCCATAACAGCACACTCAAAGAGAGCTAAAACGCTGCACAACAGCCCCTTACTCCTCGTCAGAGTCCTCCTCCGACTCGGCCTCCTCAAGCCACGTCATAAAAGGCTCGGCAGCCTTGCGGATCTTCTTGGAGGTAGAGCCATCGACATACCTCTTGGAAGACTTGGCACCCCACTTCTTCAAAAAGTCCTCAGAGGCGAGATCAAAGTGGTAGTAGAGTTGAAGGATCTTGACAATCTTGTCATAGTGCTCCTTGCCGAGCTCGGCCAAAAACTTCTCGGTGCCACCGAGGAGAGCCTTCTCATGGCGCTCAGAAGTGATCATCTATATCAGGTTAGCATTCTTCCAAATGAATACCATGTAAACAATACACATACAGTCTTGAGCATGCCTTGGCGCTTGGGAATCTGAGAGAAGATGTTCTCGTTGAAAAGTGTCATGACCAACACAATGAGGGTGCGATGCTTGGCCTCGATGCCGAGCTCCTTGGCCTTGAGGTAGATCTCGACATCATCCACGTTGTCGACACCTCCCTTGGCGTTGGCCTCAGCCTGGATCCAGTCGGCCAGCTGGTCGTAGACGGTGTTGCCACCCTCTCCGTCCTCGTCCTCGTCTTCACCGTTCAGCACGAGCTTCGCCTTGAACTCGTCAGGGAGGACCTGCTGACGAGCCTTGACAGCTTCCTCGCTCATGTCAACGGCCCACTCAACCTCCTTGTCGGCAACAGGCTTGCTGTCAAGGTTCTGAGCCTCCTTCTTGATCTTGCGAGTCAAAGCATCATCGTCACTAGCAATGTCGATGTCCCCGTTGGGGGAGGGCTGGTCAGAGCCGTTCTCCTCTCCGGAACCGTTGTCCTTGCCACCGTTCTGCTTGGCCTTGCGGGCAGCCTTGCGCTCGGCCTTGTCCTTCTTGGTCTTCTTGGGCACATTCTTGAGAATGAAACCGCTCAACTTGAGGCGCAAATCGACATCGGTGCGCTGACCGCAAGCCTTGCAGTCGAGCGTGATGTGGCCGTCCTTGATATGGACATCCGTTTCGGGATTCTTGCACTTCTTGCAGAGGACAAACTTGGAGATGAAGCCATCAAGAAGCTCTTGGAGCTTGTTAGCCTCGTGAGCACCGTTGATGATCCAGCGGTCGTCGGCGGGATCAATGTTGGTCTGGGCACCCAGCTCGAAACCGAAGTACTTGATGAGGTAAGAGCCGGGGCGGGCCAGAGACTGAGCAACGCTGCTCAGGTTGACAACAACGGTCTTGATGCCGTTACCCTTGCCTTCGATCTTGGTCTGGATACGCTCCATCTTGTAGCGATAGAAATTGTCGGAGACATCGCGACGGACGTTGACGAGAGCAGCCATGATTGCGGTGTTGATGATTTTTTTTTGGTGAAAAAGACTGAGCTGATGGGCTAGTGACGAGAGAGGTCGTACTGGCGAAGGACAGACAAGCAGATATCGAGTGCTGGCGCGGGTTTGTTGGGGGTTAACGGTGTCAGTAAGACGTAGGGTGAGGACTGGACATGTGGTGATGCTGGTGATGATGCTCAAACATGGGCAGAGAGTCAACCGTCGGAACTGGTGTTGGGACTACAAGGTTTCGGCGCTATGCGAAACGGATGCAGCTTTGGGGGGAAGTGTCGAGAGACGGAGTCCTTGTCGTGCTGATACATAAACAACGCTGTGCTGCGTGTCTTGGTTATGTGTGTGGTCGTTGGTGTCGCGGGGACGAGAGCGGCCTTCGTGGTGGTGGTAGTGGAAGAGGTGAAGTGAAGTGGGTTTGGTTGATGGCGGATCAGCAAAAGAGCAGATGCGAAATTTTTGACCTGGCGCTGGGTCCTGGGATGATGGATGCTGGCTGAGCGGGGAGTGGATCTGCCCTGCGACAGTGAATACTTTTGTTATAAGAGTAAGTCCCTGCTCCGGCAGCTTGGCTGGTAACAGATGAAGAGAAGAGAGTTGCCCGTACCTCTTGCAGTTGTTTATTCGTGGATGGAGGAGAAAGAAAGAAAGAGATTTTTGCGACAAGCGGGCAGAGGTCAAATTATAGAACCCCATACAAAAAATTAAGGTTCCAGGCACCTGCCCACTGGCCACCAGGCAAACCAAGGCCACGCAGGAAAGGTCTGTGGTGGAGTGGATCGCCCCCCGCTAAGCGCATCTTTGGCTACCTAAACTTCATCACCCGCGAATCTCATGAACTCAAACCCCGCCTTCCTCTGCTGACTTGCCCCGCTCCTTCTACTGGCCTTCTGTTTCTGGGCCGAGTTGCAGGCGGCAAAGCAACCGAACACGTTCTTTTGATTTTTCTTCGTATTGTGCGTGTTTGTGTGCCATGTGCGTGGATTTTTCCAAGCTTTCTTCAAAGAAGCCCTTTGCCCCTCCCCCCTCCCCCCTCCAAGCAGCCCGCCCTTTCCCCCACTTCCTGCCGGACTCAGGCTTGACAAACACAACCCGAAACACGGGAGGCGGCCTGTATTTCGATGCCCAACACTCTGCCTGCTTACGGTGCAATCTGGATTTGTACGGCAATTGTTCACTCTGCTTGGTATATCAGGTATCAAACAGCTATTCCACGTGACAGGTAAAAAAAAAAAGCCTTGGTAGCTTTTCACAAGGCACAGCTTTGGCGTGCCACCGTCTCCAATATAAATTTGGCCACCGGTAATATGGTACGATGCATTTGGCCGGCTGTCCGGACGTACCGCGGGCCCTTGAATTTTATCAGATCGGTCTATCAAGGTTTACCCAGCCCCCGGTATGTTGATATGGCAGTGTTGTCTTACATGACAACATTGTCGACTGCCAGGCGATTGGCCATTCAAGCAGAGCCGCACGCTGAAGAGTCTGACAGAAAGGCAAGATCAGAGCCAGACCGGTCCAAGATATCATTTTATTAAAGAATTACAAACAGACATTTGGGTTTCAGCTTTGTATCCCTTCCATCATACACTGCCCGTGTATCATTCTGACCAACCCCCCTTTCTGATCTTTCACTCCATACAAAGCCAACCCACAAATACATATACTAAAACAAAGTTCAAAGACAAAAAAAGACAATAAATTAGCGAGGGTATTTTGTATCTCACTCCCCAAAATCAACTACCTCCAAAACATCATTCCAATACCAATCACCGTCCCCATCACCAAACCCAAGTTGCTCCTCTCCTTCAAAGACTCCCCAGCATTAACAGCCAAAACAGTATCAAACGGGCTTCCTCCTCCCCCTCCCGGAACCACCACAACATTCTCTTCATCACCACCCCCCGTCTCAGCCGGCGCCTCCTCACTACTAGTAGCACTAGGCCCAGCACTCTGCACAAAAGTCGGGATAATCGTCGGCAACGACGTAGTGGTCTCATCCCCTCTAACAGCCTCGCTCGTCGTCGTTGTCGTCGTCGCCGTCGTCGTCTCCACCACCGCACTCGAGCTCGTAGGAGGACGAACTGTAGTAAACGTCAACATCTCATCCCCTTGTCCCTCGCTCCTCGTCACCGTCGTCTCCCTCACCATCGTGCTGCTCGTGCTAGCCGTCGGCCGAATGGTGGAAGTAACAACAGTACCTTGCCCCGGCGCCCGACACAGCGCCTGACCCAACCCGCCCTGCAGCGCCAGCCACAGCCACGACCCCCTGGTGACAGCCACATCGGAGCATCTCTCCCTCAGCGAGTCCTCCTTATCTCGAATACCCCGCCGGCAGGCAATCGTGCATTGCCCTTGTGCAATGTCGAATTTTCGGCAGTTGAGTATGGGCGCGTTGTAGGACAGGATGCACGAGATTGGGATGGCGAGCGAGGGTATTAGTTGGAGGTCCGAGAGGGAGAGAAAGCTGGCCGACGTGACCGAGGAGGTGTCGTCTTGGGCGGTGGATAATGAGGATAGTGATAAGATGGTGAGGAGGAGATGCGGTATTCTGTTGTGGTTGAACATTGTGTTTGGTGTGGTGAGCTGCTGATATGATTCAAGAAGGACGAGAAGATCCAAAGTAAAAAGTCGAGCAAAGGTGAGTGAGTGGGTTTGATCGTGTGTGTCCCCCCAGGAAAAAGCCGAAACTGGATCTGCTTCAATGGCGGTAGATCCGATCAGTTCGACTGTCAATGCGGCTGAACAACCGTCCGTCCTGCCGGACACAGCACTCGATTCGAGGTTTTGCCTTATCGTCGGTCGTCTCGTGATGGTGGGGTGGTTTTCTTCTCGTTGCTTTATGCCGCCTGTGTCTGGTATGCTTTCGAGGTGGTGATGAGGATCCAGCAGATAAACCCCAGCCGTCGCCCACTCGAAGATGAACAACAATTAAACCCAAGGTCACCTCTCAACAAAAGGCCTCCAGTCCTGGCAGTGCCTCGCAAGTGGCAAAAGAAAGAAGAGACGAAATGTAAGTCGGTGAAGGTCAAATGGCTGGGTCAATGAGGTCAGACCAAAGAGGCCCGAGTCGATCTTTATGGTGTTGATATGGTCGCTACTGCTCCTATTGTTGTACCACACTCCTTCCCGTTCAAGCCAAAAAAATTACCAACAAACGGCAAGAACAGATCAAACAGAAGAGAAAAGAAAGAAAGATCGAAGCACAGCTTCCTCAGGTCGAAAAGAATTGGAAAAAACCAGTTTGCGCCCCCTTCACCAACGGGTGTGGAATGGGGAATGACAAACAGACAAGAAAGAAGAGAAGGTTGGGTTGGGTGTTGGAAAGACTTCCCCGGGCCGATCGACGAGCCTTTACCTTACCACCACAGGGCAAACACAGCATTCCAGGCGGAAGGTAGGTAGACAGGCGTCCATGTCGCCCATATATTCCACCACCACCACCACCACCTTGACCCAACCATTCCCCCCCCCCCCCCCAGTCCAGTCCTATCAACCTCACCATCCCACCATCCCATTCCATTGGATCCCACCCTCCTCTCTCGAAGAAAAAAAGGGCTGGATCAAAATGACGAACAGATTCTGAGACAAGGGTTCATCCTCGACCGTTCGCACCATCCACTCGCTTCCCTCTCTCCCTCGTCCACGCTTTTGGGTTACACCACCCTCGCAGCCAATTACCTCCCCAAGAAGTGTGTGCTCGGGCGCCAAAAAGCGTTGAAACGAAACAGAGCTCGCGTTTGAGAGGCTGCCCCTTTGCTACCCCTGATGCGGCTCTGATTGGTTGCTTCAGAATTGGGCTTGGCGATGGTAGGTTGTGCGATGGTACACAATGGTTGGAGTGGCGCTCGGACCATCAAGGGGTTGGATATCTGTGCCACCGCTCATGATAGTACCCCTGAGCCAAGGACGATGTTGAGTGAAAGGCAGGTGAGCTTCTTTTGTAGGTGTAACTTGTGTTGTTGTTGTATTATCATATTTGCTCTCTAGACACCAGCGTTGTAGCCCAGCCTAGCCTTGTAAATCTGTATTGTGTATCTCAACATTCATCGTTGAGATGCCGTCGCTCTTGTGATGCCATATGTTATAAACCCGAATCCATATCAAATCCAAACCCTGTGAACTCCCTATACCCATGCTCCATACCCCATATCCCAAACATAAACGCTCAACAATATCATAGTATACAATCCCGCTCCCATAGATGAAATCACGACCTCTTCTGCCCCATCTCCTCCCCCGCAAAATCATCCCACTCCTCCCCCAACTCCCCCAGCCCACCACCACCACTCACCCGTCTCCCAACCCAAATCCCCCCAGCCGTCAACCCGCTCGCAACCAAAAACCACCCCTCAAACCACCGATCCACAAACGCCGGCTCCAACGCGCTCTCCAACGCATCCCCCACCGACCTGCCCACCTCCTTCGGCAAACTACTCCTCAGCAACAACGCCGCCGAAATCACATACGTCGCAGCGATCTGCCCTATCAGCAGCGCCAAGTTCGCTTGGGCTTGATACAGCACCCCCGGCATCCACTTCGCAAACAACCTAAACGTCTGCAGGACCGAATTCGCGCTCGCCGCCAGTATGACACCCGACAACAAAAAAGAGATCTGACGCGCCCAGGCGAGTTGATCCAGTTTCGGGTCCCAATGTTTTGCCAGCAGGCCCAGAAACCGGGAAATCGGGTCCGACGACGAGAAAGAAGGCGAGTAAAGCGACGACGGGTAAGAACTCAGGTTCCGTTTGAGCGTGGTAAGAACCGTAGCAAGAATGCGATACACGCAATACCCCGCAAAAACATACTGCGGCACCGCCAACACCCTCCCCACCACCGTCCCATCCCTCGCGTGAGCCTTCTGCCGCGCCTTCAGCTGCGCCAGACTCCCCGCCAGATTCGCCTCCATAGTCTCCAGACCCGAGATTTCCATTTGTAGGGCTTTAATCTCTGCTTGTTCAGCACTCGTCCCCATTCCCCCAGTCACAGCCTTGATCCCGCCCAAAACCTTCCCCATGATGCCATTTGATCCCTGGTGATGTTGTTGCTGCCCCCCTCCCACCCCCTCCGCCATCTGCGCCTTCCGCTGCAGACTCCTCAACCGATGTTTCTTCGTAACAAGCAACTCACTCGTCGCATCCAAACCAGCTTGCTTCCTCGCAATATCCGTATCCGTAATCGGCCGCCGTTTATACGCCCGGTTATCACTAAAGATATGCCACGGGCTGCTCACGCTCGCAAACCCCGACAGCAGCGCCATGCTCAATATACCAATAACCCCTATCCTTTCCAAACACGCCCTCGACAGTCCACCACCACTCTCCCCCCCTCCTGACATCCCACCATCAACCCTGGTCCTCTGAACCACGCCCGTAATCCGCCCCATCCACCCCCCAGCATCCCCAGCATCCCCATCCTCTCCCCCCACAACTATTCCCAACTACCAAAAAAAAACAAAAAAATAAAAAAAAAAAACCACTT